CGTCCATCACCCAGTTCCATGCGAGCAAGTAGTCAAATAGCCTCTCCCCCTAAAATAGGCATGCGTTGCCCGAGATGCTGAAAACCCACCCCTGCCGATGTTTTCTGCACGTCCATGACCCTTTTCAATGCGAGCAAGTAGTCAAATAGCCTCCCCCCTAAAATAGGCATGCCTTGCCCGACATGCTCAAAACCCACCCCTGCCGATGTTGTCGGCACGTCCGTCGTTGAGAACATGCCTTTTGTACCACGCGCGGGAATGCGCCACGAACCAAGTAGTTAGCAAGAAACACGACGTAACATGGCTACACAACCCCGCCAAACATGCAAAGACTGTCTGCAGTGTGCGTGCTCTTTTCCAGCTCGGCGAGACATTCTCCATGCACATCCACACAGGATCGCACAGTGTCCGCATTCGGCGACTGCCAAAAATACGACGGAAGAGGTTCGTGAGAGGAGCTTGTGAAAAGCTTCAAGTTTCGGCTCAGTCGGCGCTTTGAATCTGCTGCTGGCGGAAGTGCCGAGCTTCAGAAGACTTGGTGCCTTCAAGCAGCATGGAGTCAAAGTCCTGACAGCACATCCAAGAGGCAACAAAGGTCGGACCCGTTGGATAGGAACCCTGGCAACGACACAGCTGTGATCCAGCCTGCAGATGGTCTTTGTCGAAAGCCTGGGCGTAACTGGCTCAAGCCTGAACTGCCTCCCTGTGTTTTAGTCTAACAACAGTCGAAGGTCCCAGTCCGTATGGACAGAATTTCAACACTTGGCTGATTGCAAACACCGATTGCTCCCAGCATCCTGTGGGGGGTGGACGGAGGAACTTCGGGGGACCGGAGCGCGTCGATCTGCGGTGATGCCGCCTTGCCGCCGCCCCTCGCGCTCCCGGCCCGGCCCGGCACAGCACGAAGACGGAAGTCTAGTCGATGTCGCTAAGAATGCTCTCTGGCCCAGGGGCCTAGAACGAAACTCCGCACGGGGTGGCCTGCCCCGTCGATGTGCGGCAGTACACTACTTCAACATACATGCTTGGCCCCCAGACACGATCACCGAACTACAACGCAACCCCTGCAACGGCAAGTGCTGCAACCTGAGGCCCTGGCTTGGTCCATGTAGCTGAAGTACCATGCACCTCAACGTTCAACACTTGTAGCTGGCGATTGAACGAAACACCATCTGTCTTTACATGCAATTAACTATCGCGGCCAGCAGACAAAGCTTCTTGTAGGAGGCATCACTGCCTAGAAGCTCCTGTGGCACTTGCTCATGTGCAGAAGGCTCGGCTAGACAATGACTGAGATTGTCGGCAGTCCTGGCTCCGAGCCTTCATGTAGAGCTTGGCAAACAGCTTGCAATCCTGACAGGCTGTCTGCAGATGCATGCAAATGCAACATCGCAATCCAACTGCGAACAAGTGATAGCATGGCCGTTTGCGGCCTTCGTCTTGACGAAAGAATCGTGCCTCGTCACAAATTCCTGCGGCTGGCCCACGGAAATCACCAACCATACTTACGGATGGGACGATGCTGTAAGCGTCGTGGGTTGTATGAATCTACCGAACAAGCTGCCAAATCACAAACTCTGCACGAAAAGAACACTAACACCGAGGGATGTGCTTTTGTGCCCTCATTGTCCCCCCTAATTACCCAAGCTACCGCGCATCCATGTCCCTCTTGCTCTTCACACTTTTACCTGACCTTCTCTCGGACAAGGTGGGATGGAAGCTCGCGACCCCTTGCCTCACAGCACACGGAAGCAAAGCTGGGCCCATCCATACCGTGTCGGGTGAACCCCGACAGTCAACTAGGTTTCTGCAGGTCTGCCTTTCAAGTCCGAACTGTTTTGCAGTGGGCCGGGGAGGCTTCAAAGTTGAGTTTGCCCGAACTTCAGCGCACTAGGAGTCACTAGGAACATGGCTTTGGCTAGCAACACCAGATGGCATAAAAAGCCAATACTCACAGTTCTTGCCAAACTTGAGAAGAGAGTCCTACGAAAGCCCAAACACAACCACAACAACAACAACGTCGTTGGCCGAGACTGTTTCTGCTGCCGATGACATGCAACAGCAACAGCACCATCATGCGATTTTGGAGAAACAACACGATACCAAATCCGCGCCGTCGCGCGGAGACGTAGGAGGTCAAATGTGACATGATGCTACAGCCGATTCTTGGAATCACACATCCCCGTTCGCCGAAAGGCAGCAGAGTAGACAGAGCTGCGGGGATGCAAGCATGTATGTAATGCCATGAAGCTAAAACTTGCGAGATGATAGCATCATTCTCCTTGACACGGCCCACGTGGAGATACAGTTTTGTCGTATCGTAATGCCTTGACCGACCTCATTGCGCGTCGGAGTGTCTAAACAGACGAGCTGTGATTGACCTTAGAGTGGGGGGCGGGCTGTTCCAGGTGCGGACGGGGGGCCACCGTCCCCCCTCTAACTATTGAGAACGGACCAGATAAGGTCTTGCACACGCAATGTTGACGCAGTTCTTAACTACCTCAATGACACGTAACCGACAACTCCTGCAAAGCTAGCTTTCCTGAAAAGCTGCATGTGTCATGAGAAATCATCGCGACATGGTCGACATGCGGCACCGAGTCAGTGGCCGAGCTTTGTGTACCCTCACCCTGGTTTTCGCAAGTCCTATGGCCGCTGCTCTCGTTCTGCCCTCGAACCGGCTTTCAAGGTTTGTCTTGGATCTCAGGACCTCACCTAGGCCCCGTCACGACTTCAAGCAAACTGGTGTTTTGCTGTACCTTCATGTATACCTGACCTGGCTTTCCACGATTTCCACTCGCTTAGCAAACTGCTTGACGCCCCATGGACGCACTTACGATGCTACGACGAGTGTTCATGTTCTCCTCCGAAGCTTCGTCGAAGGAAGGTGGAACCCGGCTTGTTAGCCGGAGCTTTGCCAAAACTGCATTTTGGCACCTCCTCGGGTGGGAGGGAGGGTGTTCATTTTCTCTTTTCGTCGAATGTGCAACCTGGCTTGGCTAGCCGAAGCCCTGCCAAACTTGCATTTTCGCACCTCCTCCGCCACCATTGGCGGCTGTCACCGAAGAGTGCCTGCTAGGCTTTGCACATGTGGTGGCTCAAAAAGGCCTTTGCTGCTTTCGGGGCTCAATGTCGGGAGGATGGAGGCTGCAGGCTGCTGTAGTCTCCTGTAGGTAGTATAGGCCAACATGTTTTGGTGGCCCAACCGCATCCACCACTGCAAGTCTCCGACAGGGGTCCCTTGCTTGTGCGCGTCGACCGCGCCTCCTCCTCGCAACGAGTCTGGAGCGAGGGATGTCGAACGCGATCAAAACTTTGTCCCACTTCTGTCCCGCCGGCATGCATTGGAGCCTGCATGCTGCACTGTCGCTCCGCGGCATCAGCAGCTTCCAGAGGTTTCCGCACGCGCTCGGGTCCATCAGCTCCAAGCTCAGCCCGGCTTGCGTAGCCTCGGGTAAAGCAGCGGCGCGAGCTAAGGCCGCCCGGTTTGCTCCGGCAAGTCGCCAGGCCGGAGAGAATGCCAAAAGCGCAGCAGCAGGGTCTGCCCCAGCACGGAGAACAAGGAAGTCCAGAGACTCGAAGCTTGCACAGCATTCGCGGCTAGCGGTGCAAGGTCCACACCTGGGATGCTCGCTTTGGTCTTGGACTCCAGGAGCGCGCACAAGGTCGCATCCAAACCTCCCTCGCTGGCATCTCCCTCACTCTTGAGAACCCCTCGCCGGCTGAAGCGAACAAATCCCGGGCAGCAAAAACCAACCCCGTCGTCCTCGCCTCGTGCAGCAGAAGGTGTCGCCGTGCGTTGTGCCCCACAGCGACCAGCAGCTGCTTCCAACTCTGTCACTCCGATGAGCGAGCATGACTCAGCTCCCTCTCAGCTTTCAACTGTAGAAGAATACGGCCTCAGGAGAGCGTCAAATGAGCAACGAGCCACGTAGGTCCTCCCCGTTCTCACCGAAGTCCCCGTCTTCCGTCTCAGGCGCTGCGGCAGCGAGCGCCTCAGTTGCTTCGGGCCTATATAAGGAATATCCCTGTGTCTGCAGAGCAAGTGATGTCTCCCACGAAGGGAAAATGAATATCGAACGATATCGAACGGCCCGTGTCTGGACCGCGCTTGCCAAAACTCTTGACCGGCCCAGGGCGGACCCCGTCGCTACCGGCGTGTACGATGTAACACCGCGAGGAAAACGAAACTTTGCGTCGGCCGGACGTTCCTCGGTGTTCACTTCGGGCAGCACGACCCCAGAAGTCTCCAATTTCCGCAGCAACAACGACCCGGTCAGGAGCTCGATTCTCGGGCTCGGGGTAGGCTGCACGGGACGGCTCGGGCTTATGGCCCGATGGGCGCCTATCCGGTGCGAAGGTGTGCTTGGCTGAGCAAACGAACTGCAAACCTGGACAGCTCCCCACAACCTCAAAACCCTCGGCTGCCTGGAGTGCAACTTCAACTACACGTCGAGTGGGAGCAGCTACCAGATCCGACCTCAGCGCGAAGCCTCAGAACCTGCGCTTCACTCATCCACAAGCCTTTACGAACCACCCAAGCTCCAAATCTTCCGTCGTGGTGCAGGACTTGAAACAGTATCATAACGGCCAGGCCAAGGAGAGCACCGAGCAAAGTCCAATCAGCAGCCCCAGGCAAACGGAAGCGAAATCCCAAGTCCAGCCGGCAACGGCTAAAAGCAGAGGCCGTAGAGCCATCAACTCTTCCCAGCATCATATACCTTCGTGCTGGCTCATACGTTATGTGTCGATATTCCAAGAAAACACAAAGAGAACCGCCCGTGAACGTCTGTACACTCCCTGCACGGTCTGAAGGCGTCACCTTGTCTAGATTGAAGTTGCGTAGAGACAAAGGGTCGTGGCAACAAATGCAGAACATGCTGCAGCAGCCATGACATGCAACGTCATGATACTGCACCACCATCAACAACGCAACTTTCCGGCAAGGATGTCTGCACAGCACCGAACCGCAATAACTCTAAACTGGCCTTGTTTGCACCTCACACACGGCACAGACCTGTGAAAAACAACAACGCCCTCCTGGCCGTTCCCTGTCCGAACCTTATCTTCCCTCTCGCTCCACGACATAGAGCGCTGCACGAGCATGGAGGCAATGCTGAGGGCATGTTACATACTGCTGTTTGCTGCCACTCCTTGTCCAGCAAGCACTGGGACTCTAAGACCTCTTGTGCCTGACATGTCTCTGCAGCTCCACTGCACGAGATTCGGATTTCCACAGCCTGCTGGTCGGAATAGGATGAGTCGATGGCCGTGCCGACCTGTGCTGATCAACTGGCATTCCACATTCGATCTGCTTCGAAAGGATTGCGGGGTGTTCAACAGGCACACGATCAGGCCTTTTTCAGGTGCACCACACAAGCCTGATATCACAGAAGCCAGTCACACCTCAAGTCTTCTTTGCCTCTCAAGCTTCATGCAGCTGAGGAAACGGAAGTGTAGTCCTTCTGATCGGTATTAGCCACGATGCCGTCTGCATCGAAATCCCTGTGCAAGCTTGCGTAGGTTCAGATACATGGCAACATGCAACGCCGAGCCTTTGTTGGCGAAGAATGGCATCTAAACGCTCCAGATCAGATGTCTGAAGGCCAGTCTCAGTCGTCTTGTTCTTCGCTGGACCCAGCGTGTTGTTGAGTGGCTTCTCTGATGGTTCTGTCTTCGCTGGCCACAACAGATTCCACAGCCACTGGAACCAACCCCACCGCGGAGCAACAGCCCCGGAGGGGGGCCCATCTCTCTGTGCCTCATTCTTTGCTGCAGTGGCCGGAGTGTCAGTGGAGGCAGCGCTGCCCTTGCCACTGTCACTCCCACGGCTCGACCCAGCAAGGCCACGGGCAGCTTTGGCACTGACGTCCGCAGCGGCCTCCGCAGATGCGTCCTCGGCATCTTTCTCGCTCATACCATTTGACACACCGGACTTGTAAGCCGCGGCAGCTGCTGCCCGCTGCACTTCTTCGGGGCTTTTGCCCGACTTACGAGCCTCATCTTCAGCCACCTTGCTCGCAGCCTCCGCCGCAATGCGAGCAGCTTCTTCCGGGCTCTTTCCGGAGCGCAAGGCTGCCTCGTAAGCTGTCTCGCCCTTGTCTTCCGCATCCTCACTTGAATCCTCACTTCCCTCCTCTGAGTCTTTTGAGTGCTTTGCTGTGGAGTTCCCCCCCTCGGGCCGATACTTTGCCGTCCCTTCCTCTGCCTGCGGTGTCTTCGGCTTGCCGGCGCTTTCAGACCTCTTATCGGTTGAGCCACGCCTGGCACGCGCCTTCGATGTCCCAGCGCTTCCAACGACCTCGGAACTATCCTGAGTGGACTCGCGCATGACATTGGGCGCACGATAAGCTCTGTCCCACCAGCTGGATCCTGCAGTCTTCTTTGCTGCAATTTCGGTCTCCTTGGGTGTCGCCTGCCTGTCAGCAGGAAGATCCGATGCCTCGGATTCAAGCGAAGAAGCTGCAGCGCTAACCTGCCAGTAACGAAATGCGCAGCTGGATTGGAGCGGCCTGGAAGAAATGCTTGCAGAACTGTTTGAAAGACCTGTCCTGTGGCCAAAGTGCGATATGACACAACATGTTAGACTCTGACATGAGTTTTGCGTTCTCGAGCCTCTCTTTCGGCTGCTTCGAACTCATCTGCGAACTTCAGGCATTCCTGACACACCCGACAGCGAACAGACAGAGACTGAGTCGTCTTCCGGAAAGGTGGTGCGCTGAGCAATTCGAAACTCACAGCAGGACAATGAGATGATTGTCTCTCAGCACCAGGGCATGCACAATGCATCCACCAAGAACAAGCTCTGAATACGCTAGATTCATTGCATTCTCGCTGCAGCGTTGCTGCGGCAGACGGCAAAGGACTTCACGGGACAGTGGGAACATCACACGTTCAAAAGCCATACACTACGCGGTCGATTTGATGCAACCGTACATACGGCCTTGACATCATCAAAGCCAGTTTCCACGGTGCGAGGAAACTCAGCTTCCAGGCCTCAATCTAGCCCTCTCCCTCTCTCCCTCTCTCCCTCTCTCCCTGGCTCTCTGCTTTTGACAGGTTGACAGGTTCGGCAGTCAGATTTTCAAGGTGGCGACGGCACTCTTGAGTGAGGAGATGCTTGACCTTGGTTTTCAGAGACATCGCGGTGCCTTGCAACAGTCACCACATGAGCGAACCTGCACATCACCGTAGGCGTCAGCAAGGGAACTGCTCACCTGAACAATCGCCGAAAAACAAGTGAAAACTGTCGAAAATTGCAAACTCAGGCCTCTTCCATGTGCTTAACGCATCTGGGTTCAAACTCCTTGTATGGCAGGCCCTGGCTCATGTATGTACAATCGTGCACACACGCACCGGCATGGAGACTGACTGTGGTCGCTGGCCTTCTCCATCCTGAGTGCAGCGATCGTCGCAAACAGCGGCTGACCTTTGCCACGCCTTCGCACTGTTCAGAGAATGTTTAAAGCGCTCGCTGGCCGCGTCAGAAAGCCTGGGCTCCTCATCTCTTTCTTGCAGAGCAGCTTCTGCTTCTTTGACAGTCCGCTCTGCCTCGATCTCCGCATCCCTGGCCTGTACTCGCAGCACGACTTCACCACAGCAATTCAAAAGCAGATCCTCTCTCGCACAGGCGGATGAGGACTCGCAAATGCTTGCCTCGCGCTCGTCATCATCAAGTGGCCGCAAGCCTCCGAATCAGCAATGCGAAGGGCTCGTTAGATTGCGAATGCGGTGGCCAACATGCCTTTGTTGCCCGAAGCTTCGGACAAAGCTACCTGCACCAGACCCAGCGGAACTGTCACAGCTCTGAGGCAAAATTGACCTCGCCTGACGAATTAAGGCGGAGCTGACTTCTGGCGTCAGTACAGCTACCTGAAGCAAAATCATGCAAGACTACAAAACACCTAGAGGTTGGCCCCGACCGCGGTCAGCAGGAGCTTCTTCATTGCAGCTGGAAGGCCTGTCAACAAGTCACGGCAACCATCGGAGGCGGGCGCCCTCTCCTGGACCGATCCACCAGTCTTGGACCGAACCATGCACCAGTTTTGTGCTGAACTGCTGGCTAAAGCGAGCTGCCACGCATGCAGATCACACACTCCTGCTGTCGCCACTATACTGGCCTGCCGAACGAGTCGACACCGCCTCCCTCTGAAAGTCTGGGCCGAAGAGCAGCGTCGTAGACTCAAAAGCAGCGGAGCAGCAGCGTAATCAAGAGGCTTTCACGACCGTTTTGTTTCAGCATCGAGCGCTCTAGAATCTAGAATTCACAGCCTCGTTTGCTGCATGCTGGATGTGAAACGTGTGAGACAGAGGCAGCAGTATCATTTTTTACCCTTTTTCTTTGACGCCTTTGCTGCCTGAGCGCAACTGTTCACTCTTCTGGCTTGTTGGTCTTCGGCGCGAAAGAGGTGCAAATTCACGAGGTGCTAAGGCAACACAGCACGATCCCCGAGCACACGAGATATCTTGCTATTCTTTGAGCCAACCTTCGTATCGACGCAACCCCTGTGCCAATTGCGACTTACATGCGACGCACCCGAGGGTACATCACCACGACTACCGGATACACTGCCCCCCGCCGGGAACATGCATTGCGAACGCATCTGTAGAAGCACAGAAAAAGGACCACTTAGCCTGCGTTGTGCACCAGTCGAACCATCCTTCCCACAGTGTAAAATCAATACCGTGCCTACGGTGAAACCCAATCAAAGGGTAAGTTGGATCCTGTGTGAAATTATGATGACACATACGACGAAGATCCACCCGGATCGAAACTCGACTGGGAAGGGTTCTGCGGAGGAGCCTCTAGTAGCAGCATTGCATCACCCGAAAGAAGTATCCGTGAGACTTGCCTGCTGTGGCGCGTGCTGCCTCTATACCTGAAACCCGTGCCTTGAGGCGCATTTCTTCTTCTGTCTGCTTTTTGTCCACCAGCAAGTGCTCAATCTTATCGAGCCTCGACGGAACCCGCAATAAAGCAAAAAGGAAGGTACGGAACGCCAAGTGGCTCTGCAAGTTAGGCGTCGGGCTGCTCCAGAGCGGTGCTCATGAGGACTTCCGAAATCTGGCGTGCCAAACAGACATCCCAACAGCGATTGCGCTCACCTGGATTATATGAACATCTGCAAGAAGTGATTCACATGACCCTTCCTCCGTCTTGCACATGACCATTGCTGTGTCTTGGACGAGAGTTCTCAATTTGGTGGTGGTCGAAGCTTGAAGCTTAGGGGGGGTCACCACCACCCTCGCCCCCCCTTCAGGTGGGTTCAGCGAGCTGTCTTGTCAAGAGACGATCATGAAGTCGCTGAGGGGACAGTACAGTCCAATTTCATTCGTCCCCTCCTCCCCCAATTCTCAGGGTCTCCACATGACCCCCATGGTGCAAAATACTGGAGTCTACACTGTGAGGTGGGATGTGATGCCTTGATGATGGCTGGCATCTGGGGTCCGGGGCTATGGATTTGGGGTCTAGGGCCTTGGACCCAACTATAGAAAAAACGAGACGACCGCAATACATCAAGAAGATTCAAGAAGGCTGTCCAAATGGATGCTAGCTGCTACTGTAGCCAAGGTGCCAATCGCAACCCCTAACAGGCGGTTCTTACAACATCGCTTGTTGGATTTTGGGAAAGCAATGCAGATGGAATTTTCAGCACAGCGACCCTCTCCAAATCGAAACTATGTTTGCAAAAGCCTGGTGGTGTACACATGTGTATACACCTGCATTTTATGCGACTGGCTCTCGATGTTCCCGATGTTTTTGAGGCATGACCCGGTGTCGCCACTGCAGAACTGACACCTTCGTGAGCTGAGCACGGGCTCAAGATGTGCGAGAGAGACGTAGCACAGTGCGGATAGTCCGAAGCGTGCAAGACGACACGAAAGCCCGACCGAAGCGATGCTTCAAGTTTCTTTGAGCTTGGCAGGGAACCCTGAACCTGAACAGGCTTCCAAAGGCAACATCGTTTGAACGACATCCCGGTTTGCTAAACTTCGACTGCTGCGACCTCAAGTAAGCAGACAAACATGATGCTACAAGTAGTCCTAATGTTCTCACAGAACCCTGAGGAGCCAATCGAAAAAGTACATCTTCAAGTGAAGAACCGGCAAGAGATGTGACCTGATCACGCTCCGCATCCTCCATGACGCGTTTGAAGTCCTGAGTTTAATGTGATTGGAAGGACCAGAAAGAGCCCCGAGTACAGACGGCACCTCGTGAAACTCTTCGAACCTCTCGGTGTCACGAGACCAGTCCGGCATCTCTTCCTCGAGTGGCTACGGTCTCATGTCAAGTTGCTCCTGGAGACCGCACCATCCTGGGTCAGCTGCCCTCCCTTCGGCTTCCTTGAAGCAGTCAACTTCGCACAAGACTGCCTTGGCACAGGAAATTCAAAAGCACGTCAGGACATCAGCAGAGCGAGTCTCGAATGCTGCTATGCAGCCGTTGCCGATATTCGCTGCTGCACTTCACTTTCACTTCTGAGTCGTGCTATCAGCCTCGACGGGTTTTGGACACAACAGAGACTTTCTCGAGTTGCCGAAGGCCGTTCTAAGGCTCTAACTTGGAAGCTTGTAGAACGAGCTCTTCGTTTGCACTTTCTGCCTTTGCCGCTGTTAGCAGCTCCTGGAGTGCGACCCCCGCGGTGTGACGACGTGAGATGAACTGGTCTTGTTGTCGGCGGGCCTGCAGCATGCTGATGTGAGCCACCGTAGTTTTCTGCGGGCCGAGAACAGTTCGCATGAGCGATGCCTCATGTGGAAGCTTGGCTCAGCTCGAACCCACAGACCAGAACGTCGTGGTTCAGTTCAAGGAAGCTTCGAGCTGCTGCGACAGTCAGCCAATAAACAACGTTTCTGGCAAAGCCGGCACAAGAGCTGTCAAAACATGAAACAAGAGCACAAAGCAAAGCAGAAGCGTTTAAAGAGAAACACTGTTCCGAGTTCTGCTTCTCCGATCTCGAGCTGAAGGCTGGCTACGATTCAGTCATGGAGAGAGAAGAGAGAAGAGAGAAGAGGGAAGAGAGAAGAGAGAAGAGAGAAGACAGAACAGAGAGAGAGAGAGAGCTCTCGAAAAGCTCCTTCTGCCCTTTCCCATCCCCTGCCGTCTCCTGATTCCTCGCACTTGGTAATGTTACGTTAATGTGCGGCTCTAGTTTTCTTGCTGCACCCCAGGCCCCAACTCCACTACAAGATGCCTACCGTGACTCGTCTTCTTTTGCGGCGAGCTTTCTCAGCGGCTACGGTAGTCCTAGTACGTGTCTGAGCGAATCTCATATTCGGAAGGATCACACGATAGCAAAGCTTGGAACTGGTCTTGTCATCAACTCCATACATATGCTCTCTACCCGAAGCGACATGACTTGACTACCAAAAGAATGTGTCATGCCTAGGTAGCACACGAAACTTGACACGAAGGGTAACACTGGATAGTCGCATGCACGTGACGGTGTTGAGTGTCTCGTGGCTTCGCTATGTTTCGCTCCTTACAGCTTCTGTAAAGAAGCTAAACCCCAACTTAGCCGGTGCTGTTAAACCTCTGATCTTCAGAAGTATTCCACGTTCTCCGAGAACAAGCGCTGCGCTAATGAGTTAGCCCAAAATCCTACTTAGGGTGCAGTGGCTCCTTTTGGATGGTCGAGTCGCATGTAATGCGCCCGGCCGAGCACACCGCCCCGAAAACCGGTGCCGGTGCCGGGGTGCGCACTTCTGCGTCCACCCCGGACAACCGCCCGGTGGGGCGGGTGACGGCCGTATATAAGTCAAGAAAATCACAAAGGGTGGAGTGGGCGGGAACTCAGAAAAGGCGATCGAACCGGCAAGCTGCGGTTCGATCGCTAGCACTTGTTCCTACTCGCACGCGTGCGCTACACAACAAGCGCTGCGCTAACGAGTTAGCCCAAAATCCTACTTAGGGTGCAGTGGCTCCTTTTGGATGGTCGAGTCGCATGTAATGCGCCCGGCCGAGCACACCGCCCCGAAAACCGGTGCCGGTGCCGGGGTGCGCACTTCTGCGTCCGCCCGGCGCACCCACCCCCACAAGGTGCCGGCACTAACTACCAAGAAGCAAGGTCCAGCAGCCTCTCAGGAGCCTCGTGGCAGGCGTAGTCGATGTCGGCCGCCGCCCGCCCGAGGATCACCATGACGTCGTCGACCGGTGCCCGAACGCGGCACCACCCTTCGCGGACCGCTCGGGAGTCGTCGCCCCGAGAGACGGCGTCGGAGACATTGGCAGCGGAGGGGACCCTGTAGAACTCGGGGCACCAAGCCCTATCAGCCGCTAGTCCCCAGAAAGAAGCGAGGATGCCATTCACGGCGGGGTCCCGCCCATAGCCCTTCATGAGGGCAAACTGCCCGGCGACATTGTCAATGAAGGCGATCCAGTGTTGGGGAAGCCGCCGTGCAAAGGTGATGATCGGGAGCACCTGCGCCAAGATCTCCAGCACGTAGATGAATGCCCGGCGGGACGCAAAGGGCTTGAGGTACTCGGGCTTGACGACGCCGAAGTCGTAGAACACCTGGCCCTCGAAGAGGAGCACAAAGCCCCAGCCGTTCTCCCACCTGGCTGACCGAGGGACCGGGTCTCCCGGCTGAAGGTGGCCCACCTTCTTGCGCAAGTCGCCCTCTAGGAAGAAGGCGTCCGCATATAAGCATATAGAGGACTGGGACTGGCCCTGTGACTGCCCCCGGCCAGGGGACCAGGCGGCGAAGGGCCAAGAGGGCGGAACGGAGCCCCACCGAAAGAGAGTCATCGGAGTGGGCCGCCGTGTCGGCCGCCCTGGCGTAGAGCGGCTCAATGGCCGCCCGTCCAGTGCAGCCGAAGACCGACTGGCTGAAAAACGTGAGCCGCCCGGCCAGCTTGGACGCCACGTCCGGCTTCATGGCGTCGGTCTCCAGGGCGTTGTCGATCTGCTGTAAGATCTTCTTGGTGCGGTCTGCGGTGCACGGGGCGCAGCTCAACGCCCGACGGGGCCACCCTCAGCTGTCGGGAGGAACGCCCCGCAATGACCCGGGAACTTCACCGCCCACTGGCGGTAGGCGTTCTGCAGGTCGTGCCCGAAGAGCACCGGGTCCCAGCCGAAGCCATCGCCCGGCGTATGATGTCGACGACGTCCCCGAGGAAGTGGTGCGTGGGGACGTCTGCGCCCGCATGGTGGCGTTGTGGCCAGACCGTCTCCAGTCCTCTCCTCGGCGGAGCTTGAGGTCACCATTCTCGTCGAGCTGGGTGATGGCGAAGGAGAGCGCGGCGAAGTTCCCGGCGAAGCAGTCGCCCCGCGGCGGTTCGAGAAGGCGTCCCATATCGGCCAACTCGGGCAAGGATGCCATGGTGACGCCCCAGCCGTCAGGCGCCCCGCACGGGCCCATCACTCGCCCCAGCCGAGTCTCCTTAACCAGCTCCTCCCTAAGGGCCAGGGTGTGTTCCGAGTCCTGGGGGCGACGCGTCTTGGCACGTAGGCTGGGTTCTCCCGGCGCAGGCGGCCGATGGGGGCGGGATTGGAATACCGCCCGTCCTCTCTGCTCTTCCAGCCCGGGGCCCGACGGACCTCGCCCAGCATGTCGAAGCCTTCCTCAAGGTCGCCCTTCAGGTCCTGGACGGCGGGATAGCCCGCTCTCTGGAGCAAGTCCAGCAGGACGGGCCCCTGAAAGGGACGAGGGCGATCCGCCGTGCAGTAGGTCGCCCGGACGTGTTGAGGCCGAGCCGCTAGCCAGGCAGATGTAGCGTCTTGGGCGTCATGCACCATCCCCTCCATCTCCTGGATCACCAGACGTCTAATGCGAACCATGTCGTGGCGCCAATGGGTGCGGAACTCTAGCAAACCTTCCAGGGCCGGCTCAAGGACGGGCGGCGAAGTCAGCGAGTGGCGAAAGTGGGGCGCAGCCTTCCAATGCTCTTCTTCAGAAAGGCCCTCACCCAGGAAGGGGGGGGAGGTGGAGGATGCCCTGGGCGTCCTGGAGCATGGCCCGGTCCTCGGCGTCCTTCGGGGTGCGCCCCCTAGCAGACTTAGGCTTGGGGCGGCCGTCGTCTGTCGGGGCCGGTGTGGTGGCACAAGGCACCAGCACCTGTTTATGAGCCACCGACGGGTCGAAGGTGCCCAAGTCGAAGGAGTCGGCTCGCCAGGCGCAGGTGTTCCCCTGGCTGGTCCACTCCAAGGGCGAGTCCACAACGGGGTCCTTGGGGACGAGCGCCCAGTCGACACTGAGCCACCACAGGCGAGGACGTGACACCCATCCGAAGTCGGACGAGCAGACGAAGACCGGCTCCACTCCGAGGGCGTCGGAGATGACCGGCGCGTCCGGCTGGGACATGACGACGTTCTCGAACAGGAAGGAGAAACGGCGCCCGGCGAGAAGGGCGCGAAGCTCATCCATGAAGACGATGGCGTCCTGGAAGAGGCGCCCCCGATCGCCTTCGTGCCCGGCGCGGGCGCCAACTCGAGAGAAGTCCTGACAAGGAGGCGCGGCCACCCAGAGGATCATGGCCTCGCCGTTGGGGTCGGCCTCCCGAATCAGCTTCGCCACCTCCTCCGGGGAGTCGTCCAGGAGGCTGCCCCGGTGCAAAAGCCAGGGCATGGCGGCCGAGGCGACCGAGCAGCACGCCCGGTCGATCTCCCACGAGATGGCCAGCAGTGGTTGCCCGAAGGCGGACGACACCAACCAGGGCGTTGCCCCAATGCCGTCGAAGGCGGAGAGGACAATGATACGATCGCCCTTGGGCTTTCCCGGCGTGAGGCGAACCCGCTAGCGGGGCTAGGGTCGGGTGCCGCGTCAGGGCCCCCAGTTGACGCGGCCCCGTGCTGTCCCTAGCGCCACTTCTTTCCGCCGTGTGGGGCGGCCCAACGCCCCGCCTGCTGATACTGGCCCTTGGCGGCGTCGGGCTGCTCCCAGGACGAGGCGGACCACGAATGGAAGGCCAGCCGTCCGACCCTGAGTGTCCAGAGGGCGTCTCCTGCCAGGCGTCGGCCGAATACCATTGACCGCTTGGCCCCTTTGCCGCCCTTGATTTCCTGCTGGCGGCCGCCCTTGGCGCCTTTCTTGCCGCCCTTGGCCCCCTTCTTGCCCTTGCAGCCCGGGCGGATGCGCTTGGGAGGGGGCTCCACTGGGTGGGCTGTGGCCTGCCCTTGGTCCGCCCATCTGGGCGGGACGGCGCGGCGGTCACAGCCTCGAGATACGAGGAGACGTCCGCCATGATGTCGGCGGTGGCGTCTTTGAAGGTCCTCTTCTGGCGGAGGTCCATGGCGAGGCGCATCGCCATGGAGTCCCAGTACGACACAAGGGCGAGAAGGTTCGCATTTCTGCCCCTCGCCCGACAATCCCACCAGGCGATATAGGACTCGATGTCCTCCTCAGCGCCCAGTTGGACGAGTATCCAGGCCCACTTAACGGCCTCGAGCCCGTCGCAAATGGCGATGACGGACTTAGGCTGCCACGGCCGCTTCTCCTCCGCCACCAAGTTGCCGCCCACGAGGTGGAGAGCGGCGGAAGTGGCCGAGTCGCGGCGCCCGGCGGCGAGGGGGTTGAGCTCGTTGGCGGCGGTCCACGTCCTCTGAGACAGGATCTCGCCCAACCCCAATGGCGAGTAGGCAAAGGTGAGGGTGTGCTCCCAGTGAATTCTGGCGAGCACCTCCTCCGCCCCAGCCAGGCGCGAGTAGGGAAGGACCTCGGTCGCCCGTCCACCAGGCCGTCGTTGTAGGCCTTGACCAGCGTGCCCCACTCGGCGAAGTGCTTGGGCGGCCCAGCGGGTGCCGTCAGCCGGAGCGACCGGGCCCGGGGCGGCCGTTGGGTACCGAAGACCCTGGCACCACGGACGGAAGGGGCCCAGGCGCCCGACTGGACTGTCGTAGATGCCGATGGAGGCGGACAGGGCGTCGGCGTAGTCGACAAGGTTGTGCCCGTCGGAGGCAAAGTCCCGGACGCCGACGAGATAGCCGGTGTCGATGGCCCAGCCAGGGGCTGGGCAGCCGTGCACGCCGCCATCAGGCGAGCCAAATCGACGGCGGACAGGGCGCCCACAGCTGCGGCGAGCTCGCCGTCTGACGCCCCTGCCGCAAAATTTGTGATGAACACATGGGCCTCTGTCTGTGTCGCCACATGTGTACTGCCCCCGGCGGGGGGAACGCCCGGCGTGGGCGAAGCATAGCCGGTGATCACCTCTTCCTCCTCGCCCGAAAGGGCGTCGTCCACAGCCTCAGCCCCCGTCGCGGATGCCGTAGGCGCCGAGGTCGAAATAGAACCAGGCAGCGCCCAATCCAAGCCCGCCGCCGCGGCGAAGTCGGCCGCAGCTTGGGCGGCAGCATCGGCGAAGGCGGGGGCGGATCCAGTCGCCATGACCAGAACGACGAGAGGCGAAGGGACGGGAGAAACTCAGAAAAGGCGATCGAACCGGCAAGCTGCGGTTCGATCGCTAGCACTTGTTCCTACTCGCACGCGTGCGCTACACCACAACACATCTGTCGGCGTCTTCGACGCTAACTTTTAAGGAAGAATGGATCGCTGGAAAGATGCCCGAAGAGTTCAAGTGCACAGAAGACAAGAAGCCCAAAAGCTCAATGCAGATGCAACAAAAATGTGTGGTGGACACACCTTCTCGAACGGTTTGATGAAGTCGGTTTGACAGCATCACGGGAACAGGGGACAGTACTTCTGCAAGAAGCTTCCGCCGCAAGGTTTTTGCAGCTTGGACCTGAGCAACCGTAGCGTTGCAGGCAGAGCATGCGCTCTCTTACTGTCCGATGCTTAGGCCAGAACTCGCACTGGGTCCGCTTTCTTTGCGACTGCATCGTCAATGGCCTCCAGAAACTCACTCACACTCGCTCTGTGCGGAAGTAATGTCACATGGCACAAAGAAGTACGCCTTGCTCAACGCATCGTGCACGCTGTCAAACTCGTCCAAATCGGTGATGGTCTCAGCGCACGACAAGCGCAAGAAGACCGGCACCTGAAACTCCTTTCGCTCGCACATCATATTGCCTGCGGCAGACCTGCCCCGGTGATCTGTTGCTGTCCGGCGGCATTTGCATGTGGCACAGGGTCAGGTGACAGGTGGCAAGCACGCTGGCGAAGCGTCGAATTGACAGGAGGTCGGTGGGTCCGAAAACGAGAGCAGGGACTTTCAGCGGGATGGACAGGTGGGAGGTGCCACAAGGCTCGTTGAAGCTTCCAGATGGGGCCATCCCTAGAAATTCGCACGCTTTTGCTCGGACACAGTTCAGAAAGCCTTTTTCAGAAAGCGGATGCCCATACATCATAAGCATGCACAGCTTCCTTCTGCGACGGCAACACGGGATAAGCTCGCAGCTGTTACCTGCATTGCTTTCCCTAGCTGTATTTCCGACTCAAGCTTCTCCTGCAGGCTTCGGCCGTACATTGCCACACTTACATTGCACCGCAGTCTAGTGCGTCCTTCAGCTGGTTACACTGGTGGACCAGCTTGCAGTCGACAGGCTTGTCCTGCCAAGTCGCGACATGAAAGCCGACGTGACAGAGCCCTGCAGAGGCAGCCCTCGGAACATGGCGGAAGTGCAGCAGCAGCTTCCAATGCGGCAGTGACCGTCTCGAGCTGATTGAGGTGCATAGCCTGGCGGCTACAAGTTTCAGCACATGTCGCCCTCCTGTCGTTTACAAACACGTCGAGATGCATTGGTAAGCTGATGCTCCAGCTCCTGGATGGTCGTTCTGACCTTGCGAAGAGGAGCAAATCGCATGTTCCCGGGCTCACGAGCTCAGCTGAGCTAGGCAACCCTCGCCTCATTGCACCAGGTTACAGGTTTCTCCTTTCGGTGAGCCAACAGTCAACGGTCCACTCTTGAGGACAAAACGGCTTCGCCTGCCTTCTCTGTTGCTTCGGGGTGCTCAAACACCTCGCTTCGAGCGGAGCGCCATGCCACGAAGATGGCCAAGGAATCTTTTCGGGACATGTTAAGGATGTCTGGAAGAAGCAATTTTACTTTCTGAGTTATCTACAAACGTCTGTGTGATCTCCTTCTCGCAGAACACGTCCAAAGACCTTTGGGCAGTGAGGGAGACTGAGAAGACACCATTTGGTGGGTTTTCTAGGCCGTGGACCATGAGCACAAGTATCTCAGCACCGTGGAAGAAAACTGCTTCCCAGAAGCCTCTGCACACAAACCGATAACTGGTGGCTCTCATTCCATGCCCGCAAAAACGTTCAACCAGGTTGTTCGCCATCTCAACAACGTTTGTCAACGGGCTCAGGCACGCTCAGGCGGAGCGGAAACAACAAGATCCGGGATTTGAGAGGTACTGCGACGATGCGAAGAGATCGCCAGTGCCTGATGTGTCCGAGAAACTGCGACGTGCATATCGTAAGAAGGGGCAGGCGGCAAGCAGTAGACAAATGAACCTACGACGGTGTTGGAGATTCAACTGCGTCATGAGCAGACTACTTCCTTGGCCTTGCTGTCGTCGGGTCGTGCAGGTGACAACGACTTTCGTGCGCGAAACGAGAAAGCATTCGAGTGTCTGCGCATATTCACCAATGGCAGTGTCCTGGCTGGAACAAACAACCGGCAGAGTGATCTGGAGCTTCTCAGATGACATCCTCTAAAGCAGAAGATGTGCATGGCCTAGAGTGGTAGAGTGCCGGTTTTCGTGCACTGAAACTGAAACGAACATTTTGCTGCGAATATACCATCCAAAATCGCATAGTGAAGATTGTTTGCGGCCTTCACTGGACGTGACTGAGATGAAATCATCTGCAGTAAAGTAGACTCTCGGACAACGTCAGGTGCCCCATGCCTTCTACGAACACAGATTCGGAATATGTTTTCTGCATATCAGACAACCATTGTCCCAATCACTGCATGATGCCTTGCAGGCTGTGGCATTCATTGCATTCTGCAAAAGTTGCTGTACCTGGCAACTTGATGTTGGCTCACGAAGGAAATTTCGATGTGACAGCCAAGGCCTGTGGTGCTAGATGTGGACACAGACACTCAATCTCAATGAATGGACGGTGATCTTGTTGGGGCGCACATCTGGATCTGTGCACAATGCGAAGGGGGTATGCCCTCGGTCATTCTTGGCGAGGACGTCGCAACCCTGAAGCGCACGCAGATGGGCTCACAGAGGCAAGAATCATACTCCTCAACAAGCCGGCCTGTGCCATGAGGCATTTCGCACACCTTCGAATGCATTGCGTGAGTCGAGAGTGCGACAGCAAAGTGGCACCGATTCAGGCTGCTGCTCCAGATTTCCTCCTGCAGCTGCCTGATGTAGAGGCGTGTTGCCTATGGCGTCCTGGATATAGGAAGAGTGAATATGTTACATGTTGTATGACATCGCCTGTGCTTTGCAATGGTTGCGGCAACCCGAAACCCGAGAACGGGTCCCGTTCGTGATGTGACAGGTTTTGGGGTGGCGCCATCAGCAGCCACAAGACCTTCACTGTTCGGACTAGTGCTGCTCATGCGGCAATGGATGCGGGAGACACTGCGGACGCTGGCTGCATTTTCGTCACCAGATGCCGACCCATTCTCGCGTGACAGCTGTGATCAACTAGCACCACCTGCGAACATTCCGCCCATGTGCTACAGGAGTAAAATGGAATAATCTTCTTGTGAAGAGTTGCTGCGAAAGCGCTTTGCACTTCATCGCAGGATCGGAGCATTTGCTTTGTGCAGCAGTGAGCCGCAATATGATTCTGAGTTCAGCAAACAGCAGAACACTCATTCATCACAGCTGTTCAGTCACACACGATGCAAGCCAAACAAACAAGCATGAAAATGCCTAGTTTGCAACAGCGGCTTGAGGCAGCTTTCTATCGCTGAAGCCTTAGCCGTGGGGAGGCATAAACATTTGTACAATGAACCTACACCACGACAGTGGGACATCAACCTCCAGGAACGCCAAGCCGACTGGAAGCCGCCTTTGTAACGAGTTTAGCAGACACAGCAAGACCAGGAAATACCACGAATCTGAGACCCAGAACCATGCCAGCGAGGGAGGACCCCTTTGTGCGTCCATGAGAGGCTTCGCGGGGGGGCGGCGGCGGCGGTGGCCTGTGCAAAGCGAGTGGATCAGCGGCGCTGCGCGGCACAGCGCGGCACAGCGCGGCGCAGCTCCGAGGCGTCTTTGAGCGCTTTACGCGGCCGGTGCTCCGGGTGGAGCTGGAGGCCTCGGCCAGAAGCTCAGAGCGAGCACTTTCCCCTCGCGAGGCCCGAGGTCCCGGCGGCCCGGCGGGCGGTCGAATGGGGCTGGTGGAGCGGCCCTGGTCGCGGCGTGTCTCTTGCGGGGTCTCTTGCGGTCGGTGTCTTGCACTTCTGGCACGTGCTTGCATGTCACGTCCCGGTTGCACCCAAGCACCCGGCGGGACCGGACTGTGAATAGGCAGAGTGCGAGACGTCGAAGTCGCCAAAATGAGCCGTCCTCTCCGGTGGTAGCTCGGAAAGCCAAGGCTAGCCTCTCGTACTGGCGCCCGCCTCTCGGCATCGGCCTCGCCAAACTTCGCGGTCTCCTCCCAGTCTGTGCCTGAAAAGCCCCCACCAGGCGAAAGTTCGTTCAACCAGCTGGCTTTTAGCGACTGATTGTCGCACTCCGGTGGCGTGGACGAGACGAAGATCGGTGCCGTGTGCTGGCACTGGTCGACCTTCAAAAAAGCAAACGCTACCATCAACCGTTCCAACAGTGAGACATCTAACGAAGCATAACGAAGCAGGACGAGGCCAACAGAGGTCCCTGCGATTTGGAAGCTCCACGTACAGGAGGCGGAGTCGCTACGCGAGAATTTGATCTGGAGTTGCCTGCTCATTAGATGCGATGCAAGATGAGCAGCATTCAAACAATCTGAGTACATCCCGCTGCAAGGTTTGACGAGGTGACACATGCTTCTCGGTGCAAGCACTGTGCTCCTTTACATCCGCTCGCGGAAGGATTACAATCTATTCGAGGGAGCCTGGCGCATTAATTGTTGACTTATTTTCTCAGCTGGCGTTTTTTCAGGATTCGGCTCGAAAGTATCTTTCATTCTGTTCATGGGTGCGACTGATCTACAGGCAGGTGCCACTGATGTTGATGTCAATGAACAGCCTTCGAACGACCGGCTGCGGGTACGCTTGAATACGTCAGGGATCTTCGCAGCAAACAAACTGCAGTACGTGATAGTACGTGAAGCCTTGTTGCAACTGATAAGGTGCCGAAACGATCAACAATCCCCAGCTACTGTGTATCTTAATCGCCTGTTGCAGGTTAATGGTGACTCTGACAGAAGATTGCCCGCGCAAACCATCCCGCCTTGTACTGGCGTGCAGGCCGGCGAGACACTTCGGCTACTTCCTTACGACAGACAGAAACAGTGCAGTTTACAAGAATGACATTTAAAAACCACCGGCATCAGCTCAATTACATTTACCTTGCGATCTGCTCTGCCACCAGCGCATGCATTCTGATCTGAGTTGTTTGCTGGAGCGCTGGACTGGCGGCAGCAGATCACCACCAGCTGCCGCCTACTAATTGCAGCTTACAACAGCGCCTGTAAGCTCCTCTTTTCGATGCACGTGGATCACAATCGCGCCTGAACATCCGCCGCCATCTCGTCCTGCAAGGCAAGCCTTGGGCAAACTAGCAACTCCTCCTTGAACTATCATGCCGTATCCGAGCTGAACGCAGTTCGGCGCAACCTGGCAAAGCCTGCATGTCGCACTGCCCATGCATTGCACGGCATTGCTGAAACTACGAAATGCCACCTGCAAAGCGGCATCTAGCTGTCGCTGCGCCTCTGGCAACAGAAGCTCCGGCATATAACAAGATACACGACACAGATGCTTCAGGTCAGTGCCACGACAGGGTTTCCCTCTTTCCAGAGTGCTTTGGCAAGCAGGAACCATCCTTGCCAGAGAGCTCACTTCGACTTCACGGTTCTTAGAGTCTCCATCAGGCCCAGGCCCTTCATGAAGTCCGCTTTCAGCTCTACCACAATTACCGCATCCTTATTCGCGGCTCCATACAGGTCTGGTTTGCTTTCGTCCAACATGTCCGGGCACGGAGCCTCTCTGCATTTTGCCCAGTCCTGGCAAGCGAGGCAATCAGATCAAGTCTGGAGCAAGTAATCGATTTCAACTATCCGCATCAGCTTGACTATGTCGTTCCTACCCGTTCGAAATCCTTCTGCACTAGCCACATTGACAGCGCAAGGCCTAAGCTTCCAACTGACTGCGTTCGGACCTCGACGTTCAAACGCATGGGTGGTGTAAGCAATCCAGCTGCCGACTGATTGGGAACATGGAAAGCTGCCGCCTTTCCTTTTACTTACGCTCCTGGTGTTTAAATGCAGTCAATTCTCGCTCTTTCTAAGCATGCATGCAAAATTGAGGCGTCTCTCTTTGGTGCTGCTCAGCTCACCTCAGTGTTACATGCTCTTTTTATTTTCCAACGAAACTTCCGTTTGCGCGCGTTTGGGAAACCCTAACTGCGCTGCAGAGGAACCCTGTGCAAAGCACTCTCTCTTTTTTCTCCTAGCGGACATGGGGGGTCAGTTCGGGCCCGATCTTCGGGCACTGAAGAAACGATGCCACTGGCATCTTGACGGAAAAAGTCGACCGCTGGTCGATGGTAAGGCGAACGACTGGTTCACCCCCCTACAAGGGACCAACCCGTACAACGGGAGAATAACGTGAAACATTCTTTGACCTACTGGGTCACTGCAGCTACTAGTTGCTACTGTGTAGTCTTGACGGCCTACGGCCTATGTACAAAAACGCACTCTGTGCTGGTGCATCTCTGCTAGAGATAGCACAGGAGCGGTGCTCCTGGCAGCTCTGCTGCCTGTGCGGTGTCCCAGACCCCGCATACTATATGGGTGGGATAAAAACTTTTTGGATCACAGATCCAACTTCAAGCCGAAAGCTGCACGGCAAAGTTTGTCTAGTGTCACTCACACGCAAGTGAAAACACTGTTTTCCTTTTTCGACAAACTTTGTCTACACTTTCGGCGGAAAATAAAACCCATTCACGCACGCATGATGGATGCTTATTTTCCAACGAAACTTCCGTTTGCGCGCGTTTGGGAACCCTAACTGCGCTGCAGAGGAACCCTGTGCAAAGCACTCTCTCTTTTTTCTCCTAGCGGACATGGGGGGTCAGTTCGGGCCCGATCTTCGGGCACTGAAGAAACGATGCCACTGGCATCTTGACGGAAAAAGTCGACCGCTGGTCGATGGTAAGGCGAACTGGTTCACCCCCCTTGAAGGCACTCGAAGCCTTACGCACCCCCCATTCAGTCCGCGCCGAGTGACAAAGCCAACGGCACTGCGTCTGGCGGCAGGTATTGGCGCGCTGCGCCAAGCCTCTGAGTTTCTTCCCACCAGTCTCTGCTGGGTCCATCAGCGATGTTGCTGTCTGTCGGGACTCGGAAGAAAGCAGCCCTGCACTGCAGGGACTCTTCAAAATCCACCGCTTGCGAGACTATCGCTGCGCCCTCTACCTTCCGTGTGAAGGCCTTGTGCAAGGAGGTACGCGCTGCGTCGTTGTCTATCCAGACGAACAGGTCGCTGCCTGCTATATGCTTTGCCCACAGCTGAAGGCTAAGCAAATAGGGCAACAGCTCGCACTCATAGACCAACTGCTGTTTCTGTGCCCTGGCAACCCACTGGGCTGCCACACCTGGGTGCTGATCTGCAACCCCCAGGTGAAGGCAATGCCTTCTCCGATGAGCACTGCTCCGAGGCCACACTTGGGCACCAGTCGCGGGGTCTCCCACTCGCAGGCCCCGTCGATATACAGGTGCACCTTCCTGCGCGCATGGATGGACACTGTCCTAGGCGGTCCGTGCACAACTCGTTGCAGCAGGAACGCCATGGCTTGGCACTGCTGCTCGGTGAGGGGGACTTGCTCGGGTCCCTCCCCCAGGACGTCGCCGACGCAGATCACTGCCATGCGGGTGTTGCGGCCAGCGAAAATGAGCCTGCCGCGCAAGCTCTGCGCTTCCAGAGGGGACATGCTGCCGCGCGTGAGGGCCTCGCTGAGGACCATCCCCAGCTCTGCTGCACGGGTCGGCTTGTTGCTGACGGAGACCTCGCCGAGGTGCTGCTTGGACAAGTCGACGCGCACGCCCAGCACGTCGAAAACTTCGCTGAAGTCGGCGTTCTTTTTGGGCTCTGTGGCCACTTGCCAGCCCAGCTTATTGAAAAGATTGGTCACTGCCAATGTGACGAGCTTCGCGTGCGCGCTGCGCGTAAGAACTGTGAAGTCATCAAAGAAGCTCGTCATCACTAAAGCTAGCTTCTCGCGACCTATCGCTTTTAGCGCTTCGCTGCAGCGCAGAAAAGCATGCACAGCTGCCACTGCGCCGAAAGGCATGCTATGTAGGTGGGCAATTTTGACCTTCCCACTCTGTGGGTCCACCATTGCGATGCACGCAAATTTCTTGTGTGCGGCCTGCACTGCAAGCTGCTTGTAGGCACTTTTGAGATCCCAGGTCCTACCTACTATGCGGTGAGCCTGCTCTGCGGGCACCCCCTGACGCAGCCACTCCAGGCATACTGCAAGGAGCTCGTCGATGCTATCGACTTGCACCTTCTCTGTGGTGCCGCAGCAGCTGTTGATGAAGCTGCTTTTAAAGTTGTCTATAGGGCGCACCTTGCCCTTTTGCACAACACCAAAGCGAGACGATACTATCGTCTCGTGCAGGCTGGCTGGCGAGAATTCTTCGAGAGAGAGCCAGCCCTGCTGACTTTCTTCCATCGTGCTTTCCCAGACCTTTTGTCTGAGACGCCATCCTGCGATGGGCGAAGCGCGCTGCGCACGCCCCGCATGCCTAAACTGTGGGAGTTCTGCAGAATGGACTTCTCGTCTCGGCCACAGCCCGCTGGGCTGTATCCACCCAAGAAGGGGAAAACCTTCGCGCACTTGCCTGGCAACCGACTGGTCGGGGAAGTCGATTTCACACAAAAGCTTTTCTAAAGCCACTGTTTGCTTCGGCAGTGTGACGCTGTTGACCTGAGCGTCATTCGAGGCGCGTGCCTCTCTGCTTCGAGGGCTTTGCACTCTGCGCAAGTTTTGGAGATTTGCATCGACGCCATGGTTCGACGCTTGGCGAGGAGGACAGTGTCCTGGTGGACTTCTGCTGAAATGGCGCGCTTCAGGGATAAGGGCACTGCCTCGACGTCCCTGGCTGAGTGATCTATCAGATGCGCTCTGCGCACCCAGCGCAGTGGCTGCAGAGGGATCGCGATAATTGCTTTCTGTGTGGCCTCGATCCACTGGACTAGACCCCTTTGGGAAGCAGGACCACGACTGTGGTAGCTTCTGTGGAGTCTTCCAGCCTCGACAGCACCGCGCTGCGGGGCCTTCCAGAGTGACTTTGTCACTGAAGTCTGGCTCGTAACGCACGCAAGCGTCGCAGACGTTTACGGCTGAGAGGCGCTGCCTGAAGTTGTGCCGCGCATTTCTCTGCGGCCAGGGAGACCCATGCTGAACTCAACTGAGTGGTGCACGTGCTTTCCAGCGATGTGGACCACACTGTGGACCCATCCACTGAGGCTCTGCCCCACGGCAAGTGCTTATGGCCTCCATCGCAGTCTCTGCTTAGGCCCGAGAACCAGTCTAGGTTCGAAAGAATGGCCGTGCGCTTCCGGCGCATGCTGCCAAACATGCAGGCGTCGAACTCCACTCTGTGGGCTGACCGCAACGCTTCTCGTAGGCAGGGCATCCGCCAGAGCAGACTTCTAGCTGGATTTTCTATGGACCAGCAGACGTCTCGCTGAGACAATCTCTGGCAACATTGTGCCATGAAAGCTACCAGGCTGTTCGCGCTGCGAACTCGAGCCGCATCTGCCCCTCGCAGGCCTTTAAGGCCCGCTGGGCGCGACTCGCTGGGTAGCGGACCCGGCGCTCCCGGCCTGGGGATCTCTCTAGCTCTGCTAAAGGTGCCGCACGCGGGGCTCAGTGGACCCATCTCAGGTCTTCATGTGAGAGACTGCCTTCAACAAGTTGCGACCTAGCTGTGTGCAGAGGTCGAGCTGCAAGACCTTCAGGCCTCTGGCCTTCGTCTTGTGATCTACTGCAATATTCGAGAAACCCTTCTCGACGGCCGCCTTACTAAGGCGGCCGAGGCCGCAGAAGACTTCCACGAAAAGTGGCGGTCGGGGGCCCGCTCGCTGAGCGGGCTCTAGGGGTGCGGTGCCGAGCCGAGAACGGTGTCTGCAGGCACGTCTGCTGTTCAGCCAACAACAGCGGCGGAGTGGCTTGTCCTGCCGCGACCTCCTCTTGCGTCGGCGGCGCTGCCGCCGAGCTCCCTGGCTTACTCGTTGCAGGGAGTTGCGACGGCTTTGCCGACTGAGACGGCTCAGGCCTCTGCCCGGCGCTGGGCGTCTGGGCAAGCTTGCGACTCACTGGCCGAGGGCACCGGCGGCTCTGCCGCGCCCGAAGAAAGGGCACCTAGTCAAGCGGCTCGGGGCAGTCCGCTGCTCCGTGCTCGGAGCTGCCGCAGCTCATGCACTGGTGCAATCCCCGGTCGCACTGCTTGGGGGAGCCGGAGGTCTCCAGGTCACACCCGCACTGCAGGTTGAAACCGTAGCAGAGGCGCTTGCCTGA